TTGTTAATTGAAAGTTCGGGTCGCATTGGCCACCGGAAAACTTGCTCGAGCAAACGGCCGACGAGTTTCGATTAATACAAGCACAAGAAAGCCCATTCTCTTGACAATAACATATATTGTACGGAAACGTAAAGGAGGGCACCAATAATATTGGCAACCAGTGTTACCTTTTGACTGGCGAATCAATGAGCGTCAAGTCTACTTTCTCAACCACAGCGGTTTTCTCATGAGGTATTTTGCCTGTAGTCTTGTCACAGTTGTCATCATGCTAGAAGAGAATATGACGTCAAATTCAGGAAACAAGCTCTGCCGGAGGACCCGACCAATTTTCTTTTTGCAAGAGGCCTACTTCTCTATACGAGAAACAACCTAAAGGGAGAACTGAGGACTCCTCTTCACAATACATTTTGCGTTTTAGAAATCAAATCATTTTACATTACACGCCCGGGATTTTCTACCAATCAAATATTTTTCCAAGTTAATTTAACTTCAAAACCCTCTGCTTCCAGATACCGAAAAATGTATTGTTCACAGATAAACTGAAGCGCGTGACTAATATAGCAGTACAGGCTTAAATGGGGAAAAATTGGCCCATTGTAAGCTGTCGAATGCCAAAAGATTCAAACTTCAATTTTCAGGATTCAAAGTTCCAAATATTACCTGACAAAAATTTGATTTTTGTCGCCCGTGAAAATAGATCCTTCTCACGTGCTCTTATTTTCACGATCGTGATCGGAGCGCAAGATCTGGCCATCTACGTAAGCCTTGGTTTTCGCGTTAACAGTCCACTTAAACAATTCAAGTTCTGTCAAGTAAAATTTTGACAACGATAAGAACATTTTACCATTAAAACAATCCCCAAGAACAGGAGACTCAGCGGTTACTTCTGCATCACAACGAATAACATCGCAAATTGCTCATAACATATCCTATATGGTTTGTGCCATTTCACTGAAAGGTTCGTACCAACTTGCACAGGTTATTTTAAACGCAGCCCGAAAATACTTACCCGAACACGCCTTTCCTCCTTTTTGTACTTGCAGCAGAATCCCGAAGTGGGTTCTTCATCGTCTGAACTATCCACCTGCACAAGCAGACTACTTGTCATTTTTTAATGAACAGACTGAAAAAGCCATCCTTAGCCCAACAGATTGCTCTTTCCTGGATTTGCCCTTAAATAACTTATCAAGCAGTAATGAGACAACAGTTACCTTTACGATTTCCCGTGATTTTTGAATGGCAATTAACATTGCCTCCTCCTCGTCCTCTACCTGGTACTTCCTCCACCGACTGTTTGTCTTCTGTCCCCTTACCTCATCAGCGTACGATTTCGAAGAGGAATCCATATTTTGGAATTGAGCAAAAGAACTGCTTTACTTGTAATATGGGAAAGATGGGAAAGCGCAAATATCGTTTTTATCTGTTTCGCAAACAAAGGAGTTAATCACCGACACCGGAAATAGTGACCAGGTATTCCTCGCGACTCTCCTGCGTTTGTTTTCCAATTTGCCCGGGCCGCTGCTAATCACTTCTTGTGTAAAAATTTACGTAACCCGCTAAGTGGAAGTACAGTGACTACTGTTGCTTACCGATATTTTCCGTCGGCAAAACGTAGAAGTCAGTAAATGTGACCGATTCTGCCCGGAAAATTTTATTGTCTGTAGCTTGGATATGTCAGGAGAGTTTCATTGACAGCTGGATTAACTGCACCCCGTGTTGTGAAACTATTATAAAGACATCGCGCTTTCCTTTGCTTTTTTTGTCACATACTAAAGGGAAACGTGAGGTAACTGAAAGATGATTCATGCTAACCCGTCGGTATCACTTTGCACTGGCACAAGTCGACCTAACAGGCACAACGCATATCTTATATCTTAGTGGAGGATCGAAAACAGGAATGGAATTGGTGATATTTTCAATGACAATTATAGTCAAGTGTTTAAGTGCCAGTTTCGCATTCGCAT